TCCTTGTACCATTTCACATCGGTCTTCTCCTGGGCCACCTCACAGCTCAATGTGGCATTCTGTGTCAGTATAGCCTTCACCTCCTTCTGTACCTTGTCCTTGTTTGTAAACACGTCTTCTGGCTCTGTAAGAAAGCCACAATAGTCACACATAGCATTTTGCAGTTGTCTTCTCCAGTGCTTAATCAAGTTCCCCTTATTTCACTATACTTGTCCCTGACAGGTAGTATCATGACAAGCCCTTTAAGACGTGAAAGCACCTTCATCTCTTATTCTGATAGGAGGTGAACAGGGGTATGGGAGTTCTCAGATAAAGTTAAAAAACTCCCAATATGAGCACAGCTTTGAACCTGGGACTTAAAGCTCCAATATGCACTGCCTGAACCCTCCTCCCCCTTCTCTCTTTTTCCCTTCCTATGTGTCTCCAAGCCTCCAGTGAATCCAAAGGGCACAGCCCTTGTAACCTCACATCCAGGAACCATTGCTCTTTTTCTGCCTATTTGGGTCACTCATATTCAGTCATTCTCCATCTAATCAGAGCTCTTCAAACACCTCCCCCTTCCCTTTTATCTACCCCTGCACCTCTGTTATGGCCTCACACTGTGATTCTGCAGGAGTTTTTCTGCAGACACACCAGCTAATTGTGAGAGGTGTAGAAGTTATCATCTTTGCCCATCATTTTTTTGTGGTTACAACTAGTCATGGATGCGAAAGTGTATGTATAAAATGCTGATATGGCAGTTGGTTGAAAATCAAGTCCTACAGCTGAAATATTTCATCCCAGAGAGGTTGTGAGATGATCCTCTGGGTGTAAGATACTACCCAAAATGGAATACTCCTTTATCTTTGGAATTTCTAGAATTTGCTCACCTCTGACTTTGACTTGGAATGTTGTTCTGTCATCCTTCGTTTCACAGGTATAGCTCCCTTGGTCTTGCTGTGTCACCTTCTTGATGATGAGTTTGCGCTGTGTCCCCTGGGAGATGACTGTTGTCCTCTGGTCCTGCTTCACCTCAGTTTGATCCTTCTTCCATACCACAGCTCCACTTGGAGCTGACACTTCACACACCAGCTCAAGGGTTTCAGAAGGACTGAGTGATATTTCTGGAGTTGTCTTGGGCTTGTTGACAAAATTAACAGCTTCATCTGAGAAGAAAAATAGAAACCAGTTTATGCTTTGATTCAGGCTTATCAGCGCAATGTTAAGATACAGTAATGACTGATCATTATTTTGTTGCTAGTCACACTTGGGGTGATCAAGTTTCACCTCTGGAGGTGTAAATATACGTATGTGTGCATGGTACTATTGCAATGTAACTATGACAGAGTGTTAACAGTTATGGCAATAAACTGTGGTTATAAGTCAGAAAAGGTCCTCCTGAGATACAGCAGCATTATCTCTACCGGGGAACTCATTGTCCAAGTTTTAAATCATCCAGAGTGTTTGTACATAATGGTCTCCAGTTCAGGAGCTGGGTATTGATGAATCCTTTATACTATATCAACCCATTAGGTCTACACTGTGGCATTAATACTAGCCTTATGAAGTTCTAGATAGACGTGGATCTATGCCTACCTGGATTCATATCCAAAATCCACCTAACTGATATGCATCCATTTTCTGCCCCCCTTTCAGAAGTCAGGCACAAAAGCTCTTACAGAGCACAGACATAGTGGTTTCTGTTACCAGAGTTGTATGTGCACAGTCACGAGCAGAACCTGCCCCAACATCATGAGACCATAAAGCCTGATGTGTGCTTTAATTCACAGCTCCTGTCTCATCACACACATGAATGTTGATGCTTGACTTTGACAGATGGTGCAAACTTCTTCTCTGCTCTTCAGATAATTGCTCTCAGTTACAGCGCAATCACATTCATCTCTCCTACACCCTTCTGGATCTTTTAAATCAAGATGAGATGCCTTCAAGTTGCTGACACTTTAATCACCTCCTTGTTTCTGATTTCAAGCAAGCTCTAGGGAATATGTTTTGATGCCTGAGTCCACAAACAGCTTTGAAAAGATCTAAGAAGTCTCAGCAAATCTTGTTAGAAATGATGAGGAGACTTCTTTTACATGTCTCTGAGCCCATTCCTGCAGCCCCATGTTCACAATATCAGTCCCACTGGACTAATTCTTCCTCAAACCAGATCAGGGTACATGTGGGATAATCTCATGGATAAGATATTCTCCATCTTCAAGAGGACTAAGTTAATATATCAGCCAGTAGTGTCACACCTTTCTGCTGAAACTGATCTTTGCAGTAGAGAACTCACAACTGCTCACAACTCATACAGCTCAAGTGGTAGCTTCGATAACTCGGCTCAGACTGCTGACTGCAGAGACTGGCGGCCACACCTGTGAGCTGTGCATGCACACACAAACACACAGCGTGTGTCATGTATGCAGCAACAACACAGCATTTTTATCAACTCAGGTTTCTTGCAAGTGTATTTGTAAAGGTAAAAGTGAAGGGAACTAAATAAAGTGGAGACAAGCACCTTGCATGTAAAATGTGAGCAAACCTACCCAACACAACCTGTCCCTAAGCTATAGAGCAATATTTGATGAGCACGTCAAGTATTTCATACCCTTCATTCCATCAAGCCAGCCCTTGCCTGAAGAGCAAGCTGATGGCTGTCAGTTATAACCAACCTTAGCCGAGTATTGCATTTCTTATAGCAGCAACTGTCGCTTTCAGTCACTGAGTATCCCAAGGACAATTGCTAAGCTACACCCATGCCAGGCACGTCTGTGGCATCAGAGAACAAATATTTCATTAAAATTTGTCATCATTAGGACTGACCTATTTTTAAAAAATTAGATGACCAAGAAAGGATAGTCCCTCCAGAGTCCTGCAGTTCAGGATTATTGGGGTAACTCATTACCATAAAGACAGACTACTTCCCTGCCCTAAGACCATCCCCTGACTGTACAGTGCTTCTTAGCACGCTGGAAACTTTTTATGGTGACATGTGAAACAAGGTGGAAGTTGCCCTAGCTAAGGTTTTGTTAACAGCCTGTAACTCAGTCCTTGTTCATCAAAAAGTTAATGGAGATACCAGCTACTTAGCAGATACCAGTTTTCTTTGTCTGAGCATTGTGATGTTTTGTCATAGGAGTTACAGGTGAGATTCACCTAAATTACAGACGGTCATCAAAAGTTAGGCATCCAGTCTCAAGTAATGCAGGCTTCGTCTGTACTTGATGTGCAGACAAAGGCAGCTCCAGAAAACTTTTAGAATCCATCTTGGATAGCTCTCATCAGACAGTATAAATCAGATGGCATAAATTGCCTTTTGGGGATACCTTTCACTCTGCATCAACCAGTTTGGATAGAGCCTGGTTGGTTCTTTTAGACCAATTTTTCAATGGGTAAAGTCAGGGACTATAGAATCATAGAATCATAGAATCGTTTAGGTTGGAAAAGACCTTTAAGATCATCCAGTCCAACCATTAACCTACACTACCAAGTCCGCACTAAACCAATCAAGGGTAGACTAAACCATGTCCCGAAGTGCCACATCTACCCATTTTTTGAACAATTCCAGGGATGGGGACTTCACCACCTCTCTGGGCAGCCTGTTCCAATTCTTGACGACCCTTTCCGTAAAGAAATTTTTCCAAATTTCCAACCTAAACCTCCCCTGGCACAGCTTGAGCCCGTAATGAACTATGAATTACACTCAAAGTGAAATTCTGTAACGTTGGATTCTCAACCAGGGCGAGCTGGAGGCAGGATGCAGAGTGAATACCTGAGCAAACACCAGCTGTAAACTGGAAGCAATCCCTCTAGCTCAGTACACCCTGTAGCAATCCCTGGAGACCAGTGCTGTGCTACTTTTATCAGCTCTGATGAGATTATAGTTAGCTGATGGACATCATAGTAACATGGATGTACTGTTACATGTGACAAGCACTCAGTTGTTACTCCTCTTAAATTGCGTTGCACCGCAATGTGTAGACACACCATGAGAAGCTTTCAGTAGAGTTTCAATTTGTAGCTTAGGACTAAGTTAAAAATTAGGCTCCAGACGTATTCAGAAAACTACTTTTAGAAGAAAGGTTCCCACCAGGCTATGCAAATTGAATAGTTGAATTTCACAGCTATTGAATTTCACAGCTAAATTCTTGTGTCAGTTTACACTCTGGCTCCATCCTGGACTGGAACGCATCAGTGACAAGCATTTCTGTTCTGGGCTTGACCTGACAGCCACGTGCTTTCGCACGGCTGATGGGCATGTGCCATCAACTAATGGCTTCACTTACAGTACTGCAGGGAGATGTCTCAGAGATCACAGTGTCCTTTGTGAACAGCAGGAGACACTTAAACTCTCAAAATCAGGAGTTAAACTTGTCAAAGGAGGACACAGGGCTTTCACAGTAAGACTTTAGGACCACCTCAGGCAGGGAGTTCAAGGACGACGTATAAGCTGAGGCATTCCCTGAGCTAAAAGAGTAAAGCCCAGGTGTGGTGCTCAGCCTGTTCAGCCAGAGGGACGTTTGAGTCATGACTCCAACCCTAGTAAAAGCTTGTGCCGACTTGAATACGTAACAGCATCGTTATATTACTCATCCATATTGTGGATTTGCATAGGGATCACAATAGGGGTTGGAATCTCTGAAATAGTACTGTGTGATCTTGGTCCAAAAAACTGGCAATCTACAAGGTAAGAGAAGTATAAGGAACCAAATCCTGAGTTTCTAACACAGACTCTGATCCCATACTTGCATCACGAACTTACCTGAGACTTTTAAATCAAAAATAAGAGTGTCATCGCCAATTTTGCATGTGTATGTTCCTTCATCTTCTTTTGTCGCAGCTTGAACCACAAGCTTATGCAGTTTTCCTTTATCTTCCATGGTGAATTTCTTGCTGGCTGTGATTTCTTTGCCATCTTTGTACCACTTAACCATGATGTTGGCCTCAGAGGTCTCAGAAACTAATTCAGCCTGTTTTCCAAAGACAGCCTTGATAACTCCTCCAGTTTTCTCTTTGTTTATGAAGTATGCAAGTGCTGAAACAAAATATAGACGCACAGTGCTGGTAAAGAATTGTGTGGACATCAGTAAATATATACAACGCCTACATGTACATCAGGTATTAATTTATCATAAGACCAAATATGCATGTTTAATTATGGATCTAAATACTAGATTCTAATGCAGAAGCAGCCAAAATTCAGCCTTTAGAAACCATATACCTGATTATCATACATCCAAAAACCAGAGCACATACAACACATGAGGCTGAGCCAATGGGAGAGGAAGCAATCAGGCTTTAAGAAAATATCTGGGAGAGGTGAGGAAAGATATGACACAAGCAAATGGGAGGGAAAGCAATGAAGATTATTCAATCATTGTACTGTAACCACCTGGCAAATAAATCAACTCTAAAAGAGGTTAAAATATAATCTAGATAAATTATATTAAATTAAAAATCTATACAGATATCACACAGGACTGAAATGAAAACAAATTTCTTCCTGAAAATTAACTGGCACATAGAAGGTAAATACTAAATCTGTCACCATATTAACACATAGTGGAATAATTGAGTCACCAATTGCCTCAAAGCAAAGATTCAAAACCCCACCAATATCTTAGCTAAAAATATGAGCCTAAACCCACAGTCCCATTTTACTCTAGATAATGGAACTAATTTTCAAACATCTTCTTAACATATTATTTTAAAACAATACGCACAATCAAGTCACTTTGTTGGGACTCTGCAAAGCTACTAAAATCAAAGCCTTGATTATGTATGCATTTTTTCCTTAATTTCAAGAACATGCTTGCACAATACAAATTAGCAACTCTCTGCAGAATGCCTAGCAAAAGCAGTTATTAGCTTTCACTGCTGATACTGCAACAAGAAGTTGCAGTCCATGGTCTGGACCAGCTAAGTGTGACTCTCTCAGACTTTCACTCCAAAGGTGTTACTATCAGTGGTACGTCCTGGTGCAACACATGGGGGTTCTCTTTTAGCTCAAAGACCCTACCCATGAGGATGGATGTTACATTTAGTTTCCTTGCTTTTAAAATACATTAGATTTCTCCAAGTCTGTGGTATGGCTTTTAATTACAGGCAAATGTTTGGTAGGGAACCAATATTCACCAGCTTGTACAATGACAGAGTCTGGAGACCTAAAAATGAAGAGTGAATTGACTTGCCAAGCAGTACACAGGTAAGAAAGAAAAAGAAAACCTCGGTCCCAAATCTGCCCCAATCTAAGACTAAGAAATACCCCACAAGCAAATAAACAGTGAAAGGGAGGGGAAGGACGTGATGATGCAGCCAAGGGCCTCTCCAGTTCTGGTCCTGAAGGGACTCCGTTCAATCACCAGCTTCTGGCAGGGACAGGAGCTTGCATTTGACCTCTCCAGGTCCCTACCAGCCCTGTTTTCTAGGGTTTACTAAGTCTGCTTATTAGAAGCAATATCTGTGGGTAAAGAAGCCATATGGGAAGCATTTAAAACAAAGAAAACCTCCTTTTTGATTGTTTTTTTTTTTTTTTTTTCTTGTGGCCTCTGTTTCCACTTGTTTGTCTAGTGACTCATAACAGTGGAGCTTTCCCTTCAGTCGGGCAACACCGCAGTCCTTCTCCTCTACCCAACCACCTATGGCCATGAAGCCTGCAGGGGCCAAACACTGCTGAGACCTCTACTTCTCCACCAGCACTACTGGAACTCAGTCCACAGGTCAAAAAGTTTGTGAGGAAGAAGAGGGACATGGGTTCATTCATGCACCTTCCACTTCCTTAGAAAACCTGAGTGAAAAATACAACCAGGGCAGTTTGAAGGAGACTTCTTAGATGTCCTCTTTTGACGCAGGAGGTCATGTGTCAGAGGATGCCTGGCACGTGAAATCTCATGGCAGTGGAGGGACTGCAATAATAATAATAAATGGCAAGTGCAGTTTCTAGCGGGGCTCTTTTGGGCAGGAGGCCCAGCGAGTGACACGCCTCTGGCCATGGCTCAGCACGGTGGCCTCTCGGCAGCCACGTGATGCCCATGTGCCAGACACAGCTGACGTGCACATCAAATGATTCACCAGCTAGCTGTGCCTGATTTACAGGAGGAACCGACAAAAGGAGGCGATCCTGAAAGGTAAACCACTGGGACAGCATTTGTGAACCTCATCCTACAAGGATGAGATATATCAAAGCTGATTCTCCAGGAATCAAGCTACAAGTGGCAGATGTTTAAGTTACAGCTTGTCAACACCAATTTTAAAAATAATAGCATTGATTACTCATTTGATAGTCACATTACAGTGAAAAGCACATGGAAACATCCATCAGCTAATTCAATTAAATCTATGGGTAGATCTGCCAGTGTGAAAAACGATGCTAAAGAAGTAGAGAGAAAGAGAGAAGAAAACCAAAATTAAGAACAGCTGCCAAGTGTAGACAGCAAATTCCTCCCTCCATAAAGGTAGTCATGTTTTTAAATTATTTTCTTCAGCTCTCTTTGTGCCTCTTTTGAGTTTGCTCTTTGAGAATAACCAAGAAAGTAAGTTGTCAAATGCAAAACACGTACATTACTCTGGGGCTTTTTTGTTTCTACAGAGACCAAGGAGGGCGAGAAGCCAGCAGAATAAGATGATGAAGCACCTCATATATACTTAGTATAGAAACAGTGTGGTCATTGCTGGGAAGAAGGTGAGGGGTGAGTTACGGGACAGAACACAGAAATTAAATGGCTTTATAAAGTGAACTTGCCAGTTCAAAGCGACATATCTGCAGAGCTCACCCCAGACAGTGTCTGACAACAGGCTAGACTGCCTTCGAGTCAGGTTTTATACTCAGAACCTCGATAGACATCTAGATGATACCCATGAGGATATCATCTGGGGATACACTGGGGCTTTTCAGCCAAAACCTGGTCTTATTCAAGGCAGAGGAAACTCTCCTATGAACTAGTTCAAAAAAGCTTGCACAGATGGGAGGGCTTGTAAGAGGGAGGCTTAATGCTGTTGGTTTCAGGGTAAAGCTTCAAGACTTCCATGTCTTGCTTTGGGAGTGGCTGTGCCCACCAGCTAGGTAGCAGGAAATCAGGAGGGAAGGGACTGCCATGAAAACAAGAACAGCTGAACAACGGGGCAGCCATAAAACAGTGCTGGTTCAAGTCTAACAAACAGGAAATATTAAAAGAAAATGACATTTTGCTGTTTGTTCTATACAGCTCTCCATCTGAATACCTTGCAAATAGAAATGAGTCAAACCACCCAATGTGCCCTGGGAAGGTCTGTTCTTATTCAGCAGGGTATTGACAGAAAGCAAAAACCAACCAACCAACAAAAAAATCCCACAATGCCAAGATGACCTTGGTCCATCAGAACTTTAATCAGAGCTGCACTAGCTCCTCAGTGACTTGTGCAATATCACACAGGAAGTATAGGGCAGACATGGGATCACGTGCATCACGTCCTGCCCCTGCGGCTGAATTTCTTCAGCACAAGAGCACCTTTTCACTACCCACCATTCCATCTCATGAAATAACAAGACATCTGTCTGAGCGAAAGCACAGCTCTTACCGCTGAGATGGCATCAGATCCCAAGTTTATTCCCACGTTCTCCTGCTCTGGGACTACAGACGCTGTCAATGCTAGATGTTGACAGGGAGTTACCACAACCCTCTGCACTGCCTCTGGAGCACTCCCTTTCTGTCCCTTGACTCATGGCTTAGGGCAGCAGCAGGCCATTAATACAAAGCAGCCCAGGCAGTCACATACCTTTCACTGAAAGTTGATAGAGCATTTTATCCCCTTCACAAATGCACTCATAAAGTCCAGCATCCTCTGCTGCAGTGTTGTGAATTTTCAGGATGTGCCTATTCCCCACAGTTTGAAGTTCGTATTTTTCACTGGCTTTGAGTTCTTTCCCATCTTTCATCCACTTCACAGTAGCCTCCGTGTCTGAAAGCTCAGCCTGAAGTTTGGCTTCCTCCCACAGCCGAACAGAGACCTTTTCTATATCTCTGCTCCTGTTGATAAATCTCACTGCAGCACCTGTCAGGACCAAAGGCCTTGTTATTTCAAGTTATATCTGGTTAACGTGTCCCTGATATGTGTCTGCTGTAGACTGTGAGATCTTTGAAAAAGTGTTAGGACCTGTTCCTGCCCTCACACTCATGTCCAACACCAAGCAATTTTTTCCAGTTCAGGAGACTCAATCTGATTTTTATTGCCAGAGTCACTAAGAAAAAAATGCACAACTTTCTACTGATTAATAATATTCTAAACAGGCTTCTGCAGAGATTTTCACTCAAAGTCAAAGGCATCCTTCCAGAATGAATTCATTATTTTTTTCCATGCAACATGGGTAGATACAGATCTTACTGTCATTTCATAAAGGAAAGCTGGAGCACCCAGCTCTCAATGCTAAATCAAGTTACGTGATACTAATTTGTACATCACACACATCCGTGGTAGACTAAAATACCTCCAAGAAAAACAACTTTGTTAGAAATTAATGCTCCTTTACTTTTGAGACTCTACTACAGTCAGAAAGGCTAGGCAAACCTGGAGCTGAAATTACTAGTCTAAGGTGACTCGGTAGATCTGGTGACAGAATCTACTGACTGATGGTTGTGAACTACAGAAATTCATGAGCTGATGTTAAGCAGTCTAGTTCAGATACCAACCAGCTGGCTAGATCGACTCACTCTGAACTCTGTGCTATCATGGTGAGGTCATTACCAGGACACACATTAGTTCATACGATGTAATTTCAGGTACTTCCTATAGACTAGGCATCAGTGAAAGCCTCCAGCCCCAGTTCTAATCATGAGGTCACAGCAACTGCCCCTTGACTGGAAGGAGAAAGGACAATGATCAAATTAAATTAAATACCTTTCACTCTCAACTTGGCGCTGGTGTCAACATTATTGGCAACAAATTTCACTTCTGCTCCATCATCGTTCTTGGTGACTTTCTTTATGATTAGGGTGTGAGTAGTTTGAGTTCTCTTAATGATATAGGTCTCACTTTCCTGTAAGACTTTACCATTAAGATACCACGTGCCGGAACATGTCGTCGTAAGGTCAACAGTAAACAGGGCATCCCCTCCAGGTACAGCTTCAACAGTTGTCAGGGGGGTTTTCACAGCCGGGACTGGTTCTGGGGAAGAAAAATAACACGTATTTCTGAGATCAAAGGACACAAGATTGCCATGCTGGAGAATAGTTCTTCCTCAGAATAAAGTTTCTGTGGTAAACAGGACACGAGAATAAAATCCTTCAGACTTAGACAATTTGTATGCACTGAAGGAGATTGTATTGGGTTTGCATGGCAAGGTTTTGGTAGTGGGGGGGCTACAGGGGTGGCTTCTGTGAGAAGCTGCTAGAAGCTTTCCCTATGTCTGATAGAGTTAATTTTCTCACAGAAGAAGCTACTCACAGAAGCCACCCTTGTAGTCCCTCCACTACCAAAACCTGGCCACGCAAACCCAATACAGCAATGCACTGTTGGTCAACAGGATTTGATTTCTACAGCTGCAGGTGACTGACCCCTGGCATTAGGGTAAGTCCTCTTCCTGCAGGAAAGAACAACAGGCATATTTCACTTTTTTTTTCCCCCTAAGATGTTTAAAGGCATAACAAGCCTGAAACACCTATGTTCCCTAGCAAGTGTGCTATTTATTTAATAACCAGTATTATTCTTAGATTTCAGAAGGGTCCTAAGGAGGCCACCCAGCCTACTACACACTTCTAGGTATTCTAGGAAAACACAGGCATGTTCAGGCAGCTAGGGAAAAGGATGACACAATAACAAGACACAGTATGACCAAAGCCTGTGCAGATATCGTCCAGTGCAATGAATCAAAGGGAGATGCAATCTCATTGCTCGCAGTGATTCCATGGGCACATTGGCACCCTAGAAATAGAGTAAAATCCCCATATTTCTCCCAGTAACTCTAAGATTAAAGAGACACTGACTGGAACCTGGTTTTCATGGCAGTATGATCACCACATAAATTTTCTCTAGATGCGTTTGATATCTCCTTTATATATTGAAAATTATATCATAAGCCCACCTCAATTTTTCCTTTCATACTAGGTCTAGAAGAAGCACTTAACAGGCTTAAGATCCATTGCAGAGAGCTCTGCTCTCACACAGCCAGTTGTGAGATACTGGAATATAAGCATACTCACAGCTCCACCACAGCAACCTAACCACACTCATTTTGGTGATGGTCAGTGGCTGAGCTAGGAGAACTAGCAGTGAAAGGAAAAAGGTTTTGCTGTGCAATCGCTCTATCCTCCTCAAAGTCATGGGAAACGTCTTTAGAGTACCCATGCGGCAGATCAGCACAGACTGACCCATTTTATGATGGTTTTGTGCTCACCGAGGTGTATGCTCCCTGGGAACTCCAGGTAGGGGCTCTGTCCATAGGCGTTGACCGCAGACACTCTGAACTGATAGTCAGCCTCTTCTGACAGGTTGCTCACTGTGAACTCTGGGACAGGGACATGAGACTCATGGCACCTCACCCAGGTAAAGCCAGTTAGTTTCTTGCGTTCCACAAGGTAGCCATTGATTGGAATGGGGCGGTCCATCTTCGGAGGGGACCATGCTAGCGTCACTGAGGTTTCTGTTTTATTTTTCACCACAGGGTCAGTTGGGGGCTGGGTGGGAGGTTTTTTGGGAGCTGCACAAGGGGAAGAAACAAAAAAACAAAACAGAGCAAGAAGTTTATGTCAGAGTGGAAAAGCCACTGTGCCTCACTGAAAAAGCTTACACTGGACTAAAAGCTGCTTTTCCTTAATAAACCTCCATAAAATATTGATGTGAGTTGGAAAAGCAAGAGAATGGATAGAAGATGCTTTTGGGCTGCATTACACAAAGATGTACAATACTTCTACCTCCACAGCTAAACGTATGTGATTTCAACACAATATTACAATTGTCTTCACGGACAAAGGGTCTACAATGAACAATTCATAGACTTAAATTTGCAGTGCTAGATACAGACCCACACCACTTCCTGCACAGCTCCTGGGCAAAGCACACTAACACTCAGCTCATTATTTTCACTCAGAAGATGGGCAAAACCACCATGAGAGGTTGTGCAAAATTCTGTGCACCAAATTCCTGCTCCACTTCCCTAGTGTGAATCCAGGCTTAAAAAAAAAAAAAAAAAAAAGATACCTCAGCGGGATTACTCTGGCAAGGTGGCACAAATTTGCCCTGTTTACTAGACCTCATTGCACAGGGATAGTTGCAGTAGTATTGTAAGTCCGCTGTCAGAATTTGATCAGTACATGTCCCTGCAGTCAGGAACATAGATGTGCCTGAGAGAACCAATGTGTGGCAATGTACCATTACATCAAGGAAGAGTGCGGCAATATTTTGCAATGCTTTACACACAAGTGTGGCATCCTGCACAGCAATGTAAATCCACTCCATAAAAAGCAGCCTGAGCCAGGAGTCGACGTCCTCCATTTCTTCTTGAGTGCCTGTTCCAACCGCTACTAAAATATTTCAGTCCAGATCCTCAACAGTCTTAAACACAGACCAGCTAAACATTGTACAACTGGGACATTTCAGAGATAAAAGATAGACATGAATAAACAGTGCATGGGTTTTAGAGTTATGGAGAACTCGGTTGCTTGTTACACAGGCTTGGCTGTTCGCTGCAGCTGCTTTCATATGGGTATCTGACCTCTGTCCTGCTTCTGAACTTTACGCTATCTCCTCTGAGAAGGCATGTTGTAACTTTGTCTCCCAAGAGTGATAGATATCGTTGGAGATCTCTGTTTTAGTCATTTATGCAGGGCCAGCTTTGGGGGTTGGGGAACTAACCTCAAAAGGTTATATTTCAAAAGGTTATATCTCAAAAGGTTAGACAAAGAAAAGTCTCCACCATCAGACCCTACAGTTGAGAAGATGTGGCTATTTTACAGTACCTGAGGTCACAAATGTATCCCTGCAGCTATTTGCATAATGAAGATTTATGTTCACCCTCTCATTCCTCTTGAACCCTTCAGAGAAGGCTCAAGTCCTATCAGTGTTAGTCACTATGTGCTGCCACCGGTACAGTCAAGAAGCTAGGAATTATCTGATATGCTCTAGTTACACATCTACTGACATGGTAAAAGATTAATTTCTTTTAATTTCGGCTACCTGAAAAGTGTCTAATTTAAGTCAGTCAACCAGACTCCAACTGTAATCCCACAGAGAACAGCACACTCAGGAGCGATTCATTGCAGCTTAAAGAAGGTGTGTGAGACAGGTGAAATGAATCGCACATTGCAGATACTCAAGTATTCATGACTATAGAGGGAGCCTGTATGATGAGCCTAGACTAAAAAACAAACTCTGGGACAATGGAGCATCTCTCTGCCTCAGTTTACCCATCTGTAAAATGGGCATGGTAACAATGCAAGATACTAAGCAAATAATATATAAACATCGCTTGCCTGATAAATGTTATTAAACCAGCCAACACCAGTCTTGTCCAGCTAATTGAAAAAGATGTGAACATAGTACACAAGATTCTTCAAGCAGCTAATCAGATATGCATGAAGCATAAAAATAGGAAATCCCAATGTGATATACTTTTCCTTCATTACATAAATAGACACGTAAGTGTTTTGGGGTGCAAAGTTACCAGCTTGTCAGTCACTTCTGGTCAGAGCTGGATGCCAAAAGTCCCATTAGCGTAGCATTAAGCTGAACATTAGACCCTGGAATCAGATCTCTTGACCTTATCATCAGAAACCATAACGTAGAATTTTGTTCAGAGATACCTGTTTGTGGGAAGGCAGCTTCTTACCTTTTTCTATTCCTTGAATCAACACTTGCTTCATGACTTACACAGCAGAGTCCAAAATCAAACAGAACTTTGCCGTTCCCATTGAATAGGCGCTTGGCTGAATGTTAAAGACTTCCAAATGCCTTACAGACTGCCACAACGCTAAGTGCGACACTTAACTCATTTTTTCCTCATTCTAGCTCAATAGCATCAGAATGCCCCAACCAAGTTTAGATAACACAGCAGTTATAAACCTTTATTTAAAGATTTCTTTCTACCACTCAATAATTGCAGTTTGGAGGTGGTGGTGGGAGAAAAGAGATATTATACTTCCCAGCTGGTGACTAGAGTTGGTGACTTGTTCACATGCAAATTGGAACTGCAACACAGCCATGGAGTTCTCTGCCTTAAATGAAGCAGCTTTTGCCTAGGAAATGCAATGCCATCAAAATAAAGCTTCATAAAATTAGGCAACTTCACCAAAATTTCACTTTGAGTCTGACCTCAACTACACTGCACCTGCTGCTACTGCTCTGTCAGTGGACACCCTTGCTCAGATCAGATGTACCAGCTGAAGGAATTCTCCAGCCTGCACTTTATATCAATCTCCCCAAGTAAAGCTAATCAAGACAAAGGTCCCCCCTTTCAGCATAGCTACCATCAATTCACAGGGTCTTCCCAGCTTTGTCATGTCAAAGAGATGATGAGAGAGGACACGGCTTTGCTGGTCTCCAAAAGGAAGGAAACTACATTTTCAGGAGGAAGAATTTCCCCTTTTTCTTTCAGGTTTTTTTAACATATATTTTACTTGAATGCTAACAGTTGAAGAAGCTAAAATCAAAGTAAGATGTTTCAAGTTTGCTGAATGCTTGACTGCCCTTGAAATGCTTCATGTGCGTGTGCATAGATGTTCCTTCACAGATGTTTTTTGCTTACTAGAACAGAAATACTCTGCCAAAAATGTTCAGGGTACCTATCTGCTTCCCCACCATAGCCAGCATACCCACAAGCTACCCTCATGTCTCTGTAGACTCAAAACCTAGGGAAGGAATAGAATGCATGCTGACTCTCCCCTCCAAATCCTCAGTGAAGAGAGAGAGGGAGAGATAAGCAGCCCCTATTTGCTAGAAGAAGTATTATCCCCACAGCAAGAATTGATAAATAGCCCTCAAAGAAACTAATAGTTTTGGAAAATGGAGGTCAGTGTGTAGGCAGAACACCTGCAGCGTTCTGGTACAATGAAGTAAGGTGACTGCAATGTATGCAACTTACACAATGTCTTCTAAACACCTCCTGATGGGGAGAACACGCGTGTCCCTTACCCCATGTTTTACTCAGTTATCAGTTTACATTCACTCCAGCACAAATGAGAATGGTATGGAGAAGACAGACATTTGTGCCGTGCTTTTTCTCCAGGACTCTCTCTGTTTTGATCTCTCCATAACATTTCATAACGTTAGCATTCAGGCTGTCAGGCTTTTGTGGCAGACATCAAACATTCTGCTGTCTTTGGACAACACACTTACCATGGCAGTACCTAAACCAACAGTGCTAACATGGGAATACCTGCTTGCTAGAGAAGACCCAACACCAACGCCAAATAAAAGTGAAGCTTACTGGTCACAGTGAACTGGGTAGAAGTCCTGCTTTCATCAGCCAGGAAGGCAATCTCACCAGCGTCTTCCATCTTACACTCTCGGATGATCATGGTGTGTTGCTTGCCGGAGCATGTGATGGAGATTCGATCACTGGGTTTCATTACTTCTTTATTTTTCAGCCATTGGATGTTCTGGCATTCATTGTCCAGCTCCACACAGAAGATGGCTGTATCGTTTGTGAAGACCGCAGTCTTTCGTGGAAGCTTTTTGATGATGTTCCCTTTAAATAAGAAATTAATCATGATCAGCAAACAGCAGATATTAAGGTCTCTGGCAACACTGGACCATCCAGACTACCACAGGACTAGCCAACAGCTCTCACCTAATCAAAACATTGTAGACACTATGCAGACATCCCTAAATTAATTCCTAGGCTCTGAGTTACAAAGAACAGATAATGCCAAGGACTTCTTTTGGCCTTCAAAGAGGGAATCATAGAATCATAGAATCATTTAGGTTGGAAAAGACCTTTAAGATCACCCAGTCCAACCATTAACCTACACTACCAAGTCCACACTAAACCAATTAAGGGTAGACTAGACTAAACCATGTCCCAGAGTGCCACATCTACCCATTTTTTGAACAATTCCAGGGATGGGGACTCCACCACCTCTCTGGGCAGCCTGTTCCAATTCTTGACTACCCTTTCTGTGAAGAAATTTTTCCAAATTTCCAACCTAAACCTCCCCTGGCACAGCGAAAAGCAATCTTGCTTGACTACTGTTGCTCATGTCTCTAGCCTAACATGCGGAGCCTGCTGTTGGGTAAAGACAAGGTATGTGGCCTTACCAAGAACAAATTTGACAGCAATACAGATTTCCTTGCCCTCATATGCTGGGAATGCAAATTAAAACTTTGCTAAAGTAGATCAATCTTAAACCAGAGAGGTCTCTTGTCTGTCTTTGGGATTTTGCCTCCATCAAAGTTACCAGTAAGTTACATAACCAAGACAGCAAACACACCAGTCACCTGAATTAATAGAAAATACACTGAAAACCAGAAATTCACATGGAATGAACTTCACTTATTTGTGTCCTTTCCAAGTGACTGTGATGATTATTCACTTATGAGAGTAGCCTCAGAGTTACAAGATGTGACTACTCACAGGAAAGCTTGGACAAAGCATCAGGGAACCAGCCCTATTGACAGATAGTGACTGGCTCCAGCCCTGGAAGAGTCCCTGCGAGGCAAAATAGCCCTCACCTAGGCAAAGCATCTAGAGCTATTTAATGAGAAGCAATGCTGAACTCCTTCATGAAGCAACAGATCAGGCATGTTTCTTCAGTAGGATTCAAGACCCTGATTTTCCGCTCGTCCTCTCTGAAGCTTGGCCGTGTGTCTGCTCCTTGCTGCCCTCAGCGGTGTCCCCATCCCTGCAGCCCTTTGCATCCTGCCAAGCTCTCACATTTGCCCAGCCTCACCCTGCTCTCTCGAATCTTCTCCCCCGTGGGGCAGGCACAGGGCTCCCCCAGGAAGACTCTGCCTCCTTTCCCTCCTGAGAGCTCCACCTGTCTCAGTCACTATCTTTTTTAATGGAACATGCCATAGTACCATAGCACAAACAAGTAAAACAAATACCAGCTGTCCTACCAGGGGCAAACACGCTTACAGCGTTTGGCTGGTCTAGCCCTAACAGAAGATACAACAAAAAGATGTCTTATCTGAACCCTCCTGTGTCTCCAGACTAAATTTCCCCTTCCGTCTCCACCCATGTGGACTCTCATCTCTTTGCTAACGATACAAAAAGAAATTTGCACAAGGTTGAACAGCACCCAACTGTCTTGCACCAATTTATGTAGTGGAGAACCTTTTCTGGTTTCACTGGCCTTCAAATGAGACAGGACAAGTGCAATCCTGTTTCTATTACAGGTCTTCACACTACGGTGGATGTCAATTATACCAGCATAAGCATCATCAAAATAAAAATTACAGGTCCTGGAGTTGCATGAGTAGGTTCTTATTCATACAGCAAGTCACAGAGTTCAGAACCGATGGCCCCTTCTGCAGACATACCCATGTCTGATGTGCATGTCTACTGGCTGTGAGACACTGGCACCGTAGCAGTCTCTACACCCACTTCCACTTCAGTCCTAAACCACCAGACTCAGGACATGGATCTATATGCACATTTTGTCACTTTCTCATCAGCTTTCCAAACTCCAGAGAACAGGTCCAGATGTCTGAGATCTGGAGCGTAGAGCTGGTTTCCAATCTGAAACCATACTGGTGCTGACCACAGCCTGCACCACACATCAGACCATAAGCCACAACTGCTAAGCCAGCTTCCCAGTGTGGTCAGCACCACTCTCGGACAAGATTCACCATTGTGTTTGCAGGACACCAGACAAGATGTGTGTGAGACAGTGCCAGCGGACACATCTGATGCTTGGGATCGTGTTAAGGAAAGTCTACAGTGCCAGGCTACAGCTCAAGGACTTTGCCTTCTAGGAAGCCTCTTTAAGCATAGGTCCCCACAAGGTGAGATATCTTGTGCAGCAACACAATCTGTCCCCACTTTCTGACCCTGTGTCCCAGATATACCCTGGCAGGAGACTCAGGGACCCACTGACCACACGTGGCTCTCCTCTCACACCGTAAGGCAGTCTGCTGTTCTTCACTGCACACGTGCATGGGGTAAATGCCATTCACAAGGTCGAGTCTGGAGTCTCGTGCACGAATTTCACGCTTGGTAAGCAAGACCTGGCCAATCTGAAATAGCAAAAGCCTTTATTTACCTTGGACAGACAACTCTGCGATGGTCCTGCTCCCTTCTTTCATCTCACAGATATAGACAGCATCATCATCTGTAGTGACATTCTGGACAGTGAGTCGGCGATACGTGCCCTCTTCTTCGATGTTGTATTTCTTGCTCTGCCGGAGTTTGGTTTCCTCCTTGAACCAAGCTGTCTCTGTACTAGGAACAGGCACTTCACATTGGAAGGTGGCAGATTCCTTCTCCCTCACTTCAAGATCCTTCAGTTTTGCCTTGAAGGGTATTGAGGGTTCTTAAGAGGGTAAAAACAGAAAGGAGAAACAAGAGTTTATGATAGTCTGTGGTAAGAGGTGTGCAAATAAATAAGTCAACAGAAAAAAAATTAAACAAAACCACTCCTTATTAATTATATTGATTTGTCCTGAGCTGCCATCCAAACCCATAATCAAGCCCAAATACAGTAGGAGCTCTGCTCTTACGTAAAAATAAAAAAATCTTAGATCCCAGCATAAGTATTTTAAGGACTTATCTAAAAATGAAGCAGTATCAGTCTGAACTGAAGTACCTGCCCCACAACACCACACAGAGGAGTTTGGTCTCATTCAAAGCAATGTGAACAAGTTGGTGAAGCATCACATTATTAAATTCTGCTCTTGTGGCCTGCTTGTCCTCTAGTGTGAACATCCCTGCATTGCCCCTTGTCACGTAGCGATGCCATCAAGATGAAGAGCAGGGCTCACCCAGCCTGATGCTACGCATGGCAACAGCCACTTCACATCAGAGTAAAAGCCCTTCAAAGTAATCGTGCTACAGGTGGGTAAACAGCAAACAAGCTGGTCATAGGGAGAGGGCACAGGGCAGCAATGCTAGGTGAGTGTGAGCAGCTGAGCTGGTCAGCTGGTGCAAGAACCAATGTTCTAGGGGTTTTGCAGCAGAAGTGACCTCAGTGGAGTGATCTGAAAGGGGGCAGAAAGATGAGAGGTGGCTGTGCACAGGACAGATGTGGTGGAAAGCACAGAAGTAACTGATGGAGGAGTTTTCTGTTCTCCCCACCAGCACCAAAGGCTCTGTATCAGTTTTTGTCAATGACAATAAAAGAACTAGAGAAAGAGCCCGTCTCCCAGCTGCCTCTGCTTTCCTCCAGCAGCGGTGCTGTGGCTTAGGGAGAAACCAGAGTGTAGATCAAGCATGCAAAACAGCTGCATGGAAGTGAGGGAAGACATTTCTACGAACAGAACGATGTTTAATTCCAGTGACAGCTGCACTGTGAAATCATCCTGATACCCCAGCACTAAACTGGAGAAAGGGGAGTTGGACTGAAGAGGACAGCCGGTGGTCACAGCCATGGGACTGGTGCCATAGTCATGTCACAGACTTGGATTAGCCAGTGCTGATGCATCACCACTCACGCTTCATGAGGGATCATGTCTTGATATGTACCTTCATCTTCTAATAACTACTGCACCAGCTCCCAGCCTTTTTTTGTGACTCCATTCTCCCTCTCCCTGACCTCACACACACTCCCAGGCTGGTGATTTCATGTGGTCACTAGCAGTCGATAATGCAAAGTGTTAGTCTAAAAGTCAAACAGGAATAGACTTGTCTTAGATTTATAAGCCTATGCCCACGGTGGCACATCCCGCTTAGAGTCTCCATGGTCTGGAGGCTGAAGAAACACAAACTGAGACCCTCAAACATCCCACATCCAAACTTTGATGTCCAGGAGCCTCCATTTTGTAAAATTCAGATCTGGTAGCTCAGCGTATAACTGAGTCCATTACCTGCTCCCTCTTGCCCCACCATTAGGCCAGGGGCTGCTACAGGAGCAGTGCTGTCTTTGATCTGGTTTGCTCTTTTCTGAACTCAAGCCCTAGAAACTCATGCATTCAGTTTTGCAGGTCTTTTCTTCAATGCCTAGCACAGCTGCAATTGCTGTTGTCACATAAACACCTCCAATCATTTTTAGCTGAGCACAGCCTGGATAGAGATACCAGGCTTTAAGGTCTTGACGGGACACCTGCAGGGAGCAATGCTGCGTTCTACCTCGGTTCTTATCCTGAGATTAAAACCTGACTGGGAACCTCTATGATACCTTTAAGAACAGGAAGGTGACTCCAGTTCACCATGTCAACTCGGTTATGTTCTTAAAGAGTGTTTTGCCTTAATGCACCTCAATTCAAGGCAAATCAAAGTCTTGCCTTGAAAAGCCTTCAGCTGTGGTTACACAGACCTGCTCTGCCGGCACTCCACATGTTAATTATCCTTTTTTCTTTAACCAACAGGCAACTCGGACTCCTGCCCTGCAATCCCATATATCACCCTCTGGAAGCACCCCATATAGTCAGGGAGAATGAAGCAGTTGTAATTCTCAGGCCATGGGAGCAAGCAGGAGGATGAGATCAAGAAAGCATCAATCAGAAGGATGCCAGCCTCCAGGAGCTGGATGCAGCGTTGCTGTGTGAGAGAGGAGGGAGTCTGGAGCTGACACTGAGAACACACAGACATGCCCAAGGGCCAAAAAGAAATATGAGATGCACCTGAGAAGCACACAAGTGTATTCCTATACTTGGAGCAACTGGCCATATCGTTAACCCCTCCCCCTTTACAGTCACTGAGCAGTATCTAAGGTTTAAAAAACCAAAGCTCCTCTGGGAAAAAGCTCTTAAATGTATGAACACGGGATGGAATGGAATGGAATGGAATGGAATAGAATAGAATAGAATAGAATAGAATAGAATAGAATAGAATAGAATAGAATAGAATAGAATAGAATAGAATAGAATAGAATTTCAGTTGGAAGGGACCTACAATGATCATCTAGTCCAACTGCCGGACCAGTTCAGGGATGACCCAAAGTTAAAGCTGTTGTTAAGGGCATTGTCCAAATGCCTCTTAAACACTGACAGGCTTGGGGCATCAACCACCTCTCTAGGAAGCCTGTTCCGGAAGAGTTGGTTGATTTTTTTGTATGTGTTACAGTAACAACACTGCTTTTCCAGCCAGAGAAAGTAGGTGTAAGGCTATCTTTGGCAGCTTGGGGTCACAGATGTCCTCTGAAAACAACTTTGCTTTCATCCTACTGACATGTGCACACGTCTTATCTCACTCTGAACAGGGCTGCAGATAGACAGCAGCTGATGAACCGAATCAAAGCCTGGGATTCACCCAGCCCACTGCTTTTTCTGCTTTGGAGATGTGAGAGAGGCTCCAAAACCCACAAGCCTCCTCTTCCTGAATATAACTTCATCCTTTTTACATCATCTAGCATGTACCTGGTCAGACAGAGGGGGTTAATTTTGGTCAGGGGACTACAGAAGGACCACAGGGCTGTTCAGAGTAGGCATTCACCTGGCCCATAACCAAACAATTCACCTGGCCCATAACCAGCCCCCTGCCCAGGTCAGAGAGATGCTCAGAGAGGTGGCCAGGGAGGAACAGTGTCTCCTGCCGATCGACGGGCAACCCGGGTCTCAAGGAAAGATCTGTGAAAGGCAGGTGGCTCATCTTTCTTGTTAACAGACTAATCAACACAGTCCGACTATATAACCACATAATATTTACATGAAGAAGACTTGTTCTAAGGATAGAAGCACTAGACTTTACACCAGCCTTTCAGGGTATTTTAACTAGCTAAAAAAAACCCCAAACCACATTCTCTCGCCAGCCATCACGGCAAGTTGAGCCGAGATGTCCGTTACTCTCTTTCACCCCACGTTGGTCTGACAGACCCCAGTCTGCCAGATTTTGACATTGACATTGTAAACTCTCTAACGTAAGGATCCTCTCTTGCCTATTTGTACAGCACCCAGCACAATTCAGAAATATTCTGTGCTGTACCAACTATAGGCACGTCAGGAAGAGCTGCTGCAGATAACAATGTTACCTTTGATCTGATAAAATCTGTAAATATTGACTGCTCATTTCTAAATGACTACTTGTCATGTATTACCCCTTTCACAAGCTAATTCTCAATATAAGCTCATGTTAAGTATGACTCTAATACGGAAGATAAAGCCATTTGGCTATCAATGATTTTCCTTATATCCAAAATGTTCATAATATCTGAAAATATCCTTTTAAGATAAGCAAAAAATGTATTCTCCCAGGTACCCTCTGTTTCAGATAAGAAGCATCACTTATTCTTATCTCTAGTTTCTGTAAATATCAGAGCTGGTTAGAAATAGTTTAACATTAAGCAAGAAAGGTGATTTCTGATCTCTCTCTCAGTTCCACGGAAAAATACTGATTTTTGCTCGAAACAGTTATTCAAATCTCCTCTGAGAAAATCTAGGGGTTTTTTTCAGAATGACTGGAGTGGAAGTATTCAGGAGTGTTGAAGAAAACAAAATCTTTTCTTCACTTCGGTTTGGCATTCACCTGTGACCAGGTGATCTGCCACGGTGCTTTTGGGAGCCATGATTTGATGGTTTCCTGACCACATCCTTTCCTAAGGATGCTCTCCCAGCTGGGCTGTGTCTCCCACAACACAAAGCACGTTCAGCCCTGCTCAAGTCACCTGGGCTCCATGTGAGTCCCAGGCACCATGGCAAAGACAATTTAGACTCAGCTGAGACAGACTGCAGCATGGGAGCAGAAGCAAGAGGCACCTGAACTGTATATTTTGCAAGCTGGAAGAGCAGTTCCAGTGGATGTCATTTCATATGGAATCCAACAAAAAGTACAAACCAGTGTTTTTCTGATCACTCCAAATCAACCATTATCTGGAAACATTTACTTCCATGAGAGCTCAGTGGTGTGAATTTGAACAGCAATTCTGCTTTGTCCTTGTAGCATCTAGACTCCCAGGTCACGGCTTGTTTTCAGTGCCCTGAGAGGTCATTTAAATTCGTCTCTAGTATCAGTATGATTTTTTTATTATTATTTTTTTTGACTGTACAGTTTTTTCTACTAATCTGTTTTTAGCCAAAGCAGAAATACTCATTAAGGCATATAATGAAGGCAATATTTCTAAAGAAGGATAAACAGTTAAAAAAAGAGAGCTACAAAAGCCTGCCTACTGGGAAAAATGGGAGATAGAAACAGCAAAGCAAAACGCAAAGAGAGCATGGAACAAGAGCAGCTCATGGAGTTAGCAGCAAATGCAAGAGCTTAGACCAGCTATGAATTTGGCTGCTTGTCTTGAAAACATATTTCTCCAGTGTCATAAGCTTTTTTGTTTGGTCCACACCAACCAAACTAGCAATGGGATGATGTTATTTTTTAAAAGCAGGTCTTGCTAACACATATTTTGCTAAGAATAGGTGCAGCCTGCAAAGAAGCCAATGTTTCCTTAACCTTCTCAAGGCGTATCTGTCTGCTTGACCTGGTGTTCTCACTTGCCTACATTTCCTCTTGCCTATTCCTGGCCTTCTCATGGGTTCTCCATTTATTATTCCAGAGGCAAGTTTTCCCTCTGCCTAACAAAAATGATCCAGTGAGAGTAAGAATACGGAGAATCCTTCCAAAGGGAGCTATCTAAAGGTGCATGGACAAGCTTCCACCATCTTGTGCCTTTGGTCTTCTTCCTAGTTACCATGCTTTCCAACTTTCCTTTCTACCTCCACATTTCTCAAGTTGCAATTCTCTTTCACATCTCAAACATGACTGCCATGATAGTGGTCATCCAAAATCACTTCAGATCAGAGGGGAATAAAGTGGCATCAGCACCAGTCTTTTTCCAGCCTCTCTCCTATTTGGCTTGCAACCTTTAACCTTTTCATACAGTATCTGATTACTGTATTCAGGGACACAGATGAACATTTCTTGGCCCAGACCCAAGGATGGAGACCTGTACACTGTTCTCGCTAACTTTACACATGGCCTAGGCACATCTCCAAAGCCCTCAGGAAATTCAAGTGGTTTATTCAGGTTCCTCCCATCCTCTCCGCTCTTTGGTTTGTCAAAGAGGTTTATTCTTAGGAAGCATTTCCAAACTTCTTTTACAGCTCACAGTTCAGCATATGGCTTGTGATTTTATCCCTGCTCTAGACACATTTCTGAATCAGAGTAATCAACTCTTCGTTTTCCTTAATTGTGAGAGTGACTCTCTGCCCTGCAGCCTCTTTTGAGGTTTACATCTGATTCACTACATCTCATTTAGGAACAGCTCAGAAATCTCTTTTTTCCAGCTCAATGATCTTTAGGGCATGGGCTCAGCAAAGTGCTTACACATGTGTTGGGTCCCTAGGTCTAGGATCTAGATTGAGAGAATACAGGAGGCTTTCTAGAGGAGCTTTGACCTGTGCCCAGTCCTATGCCCTGAGAGACTGCTAAGAGCCACCTTACAGAGAGGATGCTGGGCTAGGTAGTCTTTTTTATTATTATTACCTTTAAAAGGTAATAATAAAGGACCCATAAATATTCTCACTTACATTCCTGTGTTGAAATTCTGCAAACAAAAATGCCAGAACATATTTAAACCCATGGAGCTTGTCTTTCCTGGTACATGTCTCTATGGACCCACACTGTGGATGCAGCACCACAGGCTCTATAAATATGCTGTTACCTGCAGAAAGACCAATGCAGCAGCATGGTGCTTACCAAGGGTGGATGCTTGCAGAATTTAATCTCTTCTGCATGACTGAGCAAAGAGAAAGTTGTGTGGCAACCCAATGGCAGACAAGCTAATGGCACCACCAATGGCATAAACAACAGAATTAAAAGCTCTCTTTGCTACTACATTGTTCTGAGCTGTTTTTGGGGGGCTGAGAAGGCCTTCTGGTGACACAAAGGAGAGTCATTACTGAGGCCTAATTATAACCAACACACGTAGATTTTCCATGGCAGCCTTGGCCTGGTCAGAAAGCCCAACATAGTATAGCGTAACAAAGAAACAGACCATCAACATTTCCACTTAAGCCCTCTGACTCACAGGCGTCTCTTGACAATGGACATTGATTAATAATCTTTTCCCATGGTGCTTGCTCCCAGACCTGCTGCTTCGCATGCTTTCCCTGTCTCCTTTGGAACAGGTTGCACCCATTGGGAGCAATCAACTAAGCATGGGCAGAGAGGAGGGTGTTTGTCTTTGCAAGACAGGTGTTGGGCAAGTCACGGAGCTTGAGCCATCCTCAAAGTGAACACCCACCCAAGGGCCAGGCTCGGTCTTCAGCTCTGAGTCCCGATTCGTGAGGTAATCACAGCTTTATGGAAGAGGACAAATGCCCTTCCCAACACCACTCAGCACCTCCAAGGGATGGCAATGAGTGGGACAAGTGCCAGCGAGTTCCACAGATCAGGTGTCACTGATGGACATGGGGACTGAGTCACTGACGGGAAAGACAGTGAGTGTGAAAGGAGAGGTCCAGAAAAGGGAAACCAGAAAACCAAATAAAAGCTGGGAGCTTTAAAGATGGGTATGAAACACAGACCATGCCTGCTCATTTGGATTTCTAATTTATTTTGCTGCCAAAAACATCTATTTTGCCACACAAGTGGCAAAGCCTTTTACATCTGAAAGTTAATTTACAGGTGCTGCCTGGGTTGCAAACTGCCTGCTGTAACCTTGCCTAATGGGAGAACAGCTTGAAAAGTTAGAGCTTCCTTTGCGAAAACATGTGGGTCACATTCTTGTTGTCAGGCTGAAGAACTTGGTCTGACCGCCACCAGCATTGAGCTACCCTCTGAAGGCAAGTTCTTCACCACTGACCACAACAAACAGAGGCATTCTGGACCTAGGAGAGTTCTGGGAGCATACAAGGGCTACAGGCTATCCAGCAGCAGAAGCTCTGAAAAGGCTGGAGAAGCCTGCCAAGAACAAGGCTGCTGGTGGGTCACTGTACAGGAAAACTGAGGTGAACTGTAATTAGAGTTGGAGTGGGTCCCCCAAGGGATCCAAGGCAGCCTGACACGCTCAGCTTGCAAGGAGGAGTTTCCTCTACTTCTGCTTAAATGGCATGTGTGTGCCAGTTTGACTAAACCCTGTGATGAATATAAAGGAGGGTAAGACAGGACTTTAGCAGTCCCTGATCCAGAGGGTGGTAACGAATCTCTGAGTTTACTATAAAACCAGGATGTATGGGAGCTTTAGAGATCTGTTTCATCCCAGCTGCCCCACAACCAGCCAGTTCTACATCATCCATCCCTGACTGATCCCTTCCTAAAATCTCCCAGTGATGAGACCTCCCCCCAGGGCATCTATTCCAGTGCTTAACCCCCTTTACAGCTGAAGAGCTTTTATTCATGTCTAACCCACACTCCTCTGCAGCAGTTTGACGGCAGAAGCTTTGTTCACGCTCCCACCCCGACTCGGAAGTGCATAGCCTGTCTCCTTGCAGGCATGCCCACACCAATGAGAAACATAAGCACCCACCTTTGACGGTGACAAGCACGGAGCTGTATGTCTGGCCTGCCAGGTTGGAGGCCGTGCAGGTGTACAGCCCATTGTCTATCTGCTTGCAGAAGAGGATCTTCAGCACAAAGTTCTCTTGATCATCCTCGTAGATGACATGCCGCCGTCCTTCCAAAATGACCTCGTTGTCCTTCTTCCACACAATCTCTGGCTTGGGCTCGCCAGTCACGTAGCAGCTCAGCTTGGCGTGCTTCCCCTCCGTCACGCTGCACGTGCGGGTCAATGCCCCAAAAGTTGCGTTGCGGGCCCCTTTGGTGGTAAGTCCAGCCGCTCTCTCGTAATCCCGGGAGAGGCTGTAGCTGATGCCAGACAACCCTTCTGCCATGGAGTAAGACTGGGCAGACGTTGCATCAAGAGCCCCATGAGAGATGTCCATCTTCCTGATCTCCTCCCGCCTCTTTTGCAAATGAGACAACAAGGATGCCGTCTTGCCACAGCTGGTATCAAAGTGGCTGCTGCTGCCTGGGTTGGAAGAGCCCTGCATTTCCACCACCAGCGCAGCTGAAGCGCTGGCAGAGCCGATGGGATTCTCTGCCCGGCAGGTGTAGGTGCCGCTGTCCCCCAGCCGGGCACACTGGATGGTGAGAGCATTTGACTCCCCGGCAGACTCGATCTGGAAGCGGCCGGCATCAGCCCGGTTCCGCAGGTGTCTCCCATCCTTCTCCCAGTTCACTGAGAGGGGAGGGCTGCCCTGGACTTTGCATTTGAACATGGCATCTTCTCCCAATGTTACTTTGATGGAGGAGGGTTTCTGGATGAAGTATGGGGCTGACTCTGTTACTGTGGTTTCCTCTCCAACTTTGATGCTGACAGCTGCAAAAGCTTCCCCGATGGTGTTCTTGGCCCGGCAGATGTATTGGCCACTGTCCTCCAGGCTCAGATCATAGATTGTTAGCCTATAGAGATCTCCATCTTCTGTGGTTTTAAACCTTCCTCCAGACTGGATTGGAAGTTTATCCTTTTCCCAGCTCACAACTGGGATGGGATTTCCAATGATCTGGCAGCTCAAGGTGGCATCCTTCCCCACAGACACCATGAACGCCTTAGGCCGGGTCAAGAACCGGGGGACTCCACTGAATGAGCTGTAATCCATCTTGGTTTCCTAAAGAGTGAGGGGAAAAAAAAAAAGTCAAGAGAGAGCAGATTAGACGGTGCAGGCAAAGAATTGCTGCACTTCCATGGTATCAGGATGTTTGTCATCTAGAACAATCTAGTTGGGGCATGTTTTTATTGTCCTTCTCATTATGGGTGAGAAGGTCTTGGAATATTTTAGGTCCTGCAGATTTCTTAGATTTGAGCTCAATAAACTGCTGACAGAGAAGGTAGCTCATTTCTCCACAGGAGTCACTGGGTAAAATACAAGTCTCCGGGCAGTTCATACAGAAAGAACACAATGGTCCCTTTGGCACTAGGAAAGCAACCTGCACTAATGCTGTATAACATATGGGCTAGTTCTGTAGCCGTAGAGATACAAATTCTGAGACATGTGTCTACCCATAAAGATACCTCCTCCATCATGCTCATCTCTTCTTCATTTTCATCTCTTGTTTTCTATCTCATTGCCTTTTCTATTTTCAATTTTTCTCTTTTTCCTTTCCTTTCTTCCCCCCCTCCCCCCCACTCCTTTTTTTTTTTGTTGTTTTCTATTCTGCTTCTATAACATGTTCTGTCTATTCTCTTGCCCTCTCTGGTCATTACCCAACCCTACATCTTGTTCTCTGAACCACTTTCACACAGACCTCACGGTAAATGCCTCTCCTGTAGGGGCCAGCCTTTAGGAGGACACACAGACATGCCTGTCATATTAATGACAATGTTTCTCTTTATCCCAGTTTCTATTCAACACAACCACTGAGATACAACTCCTTTGATGGTGATGGTAGCCGATGAGTATCTATGGCTTATATAGAGCCTCATCCAGATGGTGTAGGACCAGACACAGCTGCAGTAAGGATGGGTGTTCGTGCATATCTATGGCTGGATGCACACGCCCCACATACGCGGGAGTGCAAAGCCATGTGATGGAACCGCCATGGGGAATGCATGCAGCAATCCAAATGGTGCCAGCCTTCTCCAAAAAAGCCCCACGGGGCTTAGGGCTTATAAGAAAGATGTCTCATTGCCCACATATCTTCAGCTGCTCTCGGAAGGAGCTGTGCACGAGCCTGCAGCTCTTTGGTGATACAGACCAGCCAAGGGGACAAGGCTTAAACAGTGTTCAAAACTAAAGCTCATGGCAAATCTGGTGCCATTGTGTCCTGAGAAAGTCAAAAGCAATCAGGGGCACTAATCTTTACAGCCATGTTCATTCACACACAGAGTCTACCCATCCCTGCGCAGCTGGAGAGCAATAGAACAGACATCATCACCTTCAGGGTCCCCCTAAAGTCCACACAGCACAAAAACTCTTCTTGCTTCTTCACTGCTCCTTACATGGACGCCTGGATGTCCTTTCCCTTCTGCTAGAGGATTCTACTTCTAATCCTCCAAGAAGCCCTTTTCCGTGCATTGGCGAGCATTCACTTTGATAAGTATAGCACAGCTAAAAGCCTGGTCTTGACCCCATTAGCACCAGTAACGTGCACCAGCTGACTCTCCCTGGGAGCAGGATTAGACCTGACGCTACTGCTCTATAAGGAGAGCAAGCATCCCAGCTCCGAGCCTCTCTGGAAGTCCTACTCAGAAGACTTGAGTGCACCATTTCTCTCCAAGCTACTATATCTCTTCAGCCTCATGACGCCAGACACCCCCGTCTCAGCAAAGCTCATCCAGCTCCTGCCTGAGCTATATGAACAGTCTCTATTCAAGGGCGATTGCAGTGCTGCTCTCACATCTGTGCTTTTTCACCTTCAAAGTGCCACACAAAGCAAAAAGAGCAGGGCGCTGTGTGTTGTAACTCGGAAAGGAAATAATAACCAGTCATCGTGACAGAAATATCCTTCTTAATCCTACAGCAGTTCGGCTTCCCCGCTGGCCACAAATCCACCCACTCGCTCACCCAATGGCAGATGCCCGCACAATCTCCCCCCAACCTCCAGAAGAAATTAGTAGGAGCAGGCCAAAAACCTGTTTTCATTTCTTGAGTCACCATCTGAGCAGAAGCTTCATTATTTTTTCCATCCTCTTCCAGCTCCTGTTGCAGTGCATTAACTTTAACTTGCAAATCACCGATGGCACCAGGGAGTGGGAGCTGGACTGACCTGCTGCATGACCTTGGGGAAATTGCTTATTTTCCCTGTGTCTTGGCTCCCCTCCCATTTCATCTTCATATCAAGACAGGGATGGTCTCACAAATAATTATGTGCACAGTGTATACACGACAATGTATTTGCTAGAGTATATGACAAATCATGCATGAAAATTAATAATAAATTACAATTTTTCATTCCATTTATGCTGCTGGGGATTGAAAGAGGCAAATTGCCATCAAAACTAAATTCCGGTAAATACAAAAATACAAAATGGTATTCATTATAATAATTATTACCATTGAAGATGGCATAGCTGAGCTAACCTTCAAACTTCATTTGGGACACAGATCTAAGGCAAAAACAAACATAGCCTTCTTTCTATGCTTAACAGGAAAAATACACTATGTCCTATCCTGTCTCTCCCCCTCCAAGAACATACGAAACTCTTAAGAAGCAGTTAAAGGCTTTTCTCTTTAGAAGAAATTCATCCTTTCTAAAATAATTAATTTTTGGTCGCTTTTGTTTCCTGGTATGAAGCAAATTTCATTATTCCACCAAAAATCTTCAGAAATTAAAGAAGATGCTTTCAAGGCTTAAATCTGAAAACAAAAAAGTCATGGGGAAAAATCATTCTTAGTAAACACTAAGAGCGCAAAGAATGATTGACTTGCAGGCATTAGTGCCAAGACCAACTGATTTTCTGTAGAGTGGTCACCTTCAATACTAGTTGCAATGAATATACAGAACTATTTTTCTCTTGGTCTCAAACTGGTCTAGAAATCCCTGAACTATTTTGCACTTTAGTCCCTCTTACTACCTTCAACCTCTGTCCTCACTTAAGCTTTAAAATGTATTTTCCATAAACACTTGCAAAGCTGCAAGCAGAGAAGCTGCATGAGTGGTTAGAAGATGCAGATATGAGCCTTGGGCTTGAGCCAAAGTACACTGAAGTCAGTGGAAATTTCCACTGAAGTCAGTTGATTGACAATTACAATCTTCTGCTAATTTGGGGAAGGACCATTTCAATGTTCGGATGGGGATGCTGGGATTCAAGTTCATCTTTGGAGAATCCAGCAGTAACATTCGTTACATTAACTAAGAATTAACAATCAAAACACAGGCTCAGAGCTCATGTCCTAATCTTTCCCAGCCATTAGCTTGAATTCCAGGCTGTGCTGTGTCATCAAAGTACTTGGATCCATCTTCAGAAGACGTTGCCATGTCTCATCCTTCCTAGATCCCTACTTGTTTCTGACAGATTTGTCACTGACTCATTTCCAGCTTCAAATCCATGGCATCAAAAAGAGCAAAAAATAAAGTTACTCCACTTCTCCTTCAAAGTGGGCTCTGCATAACATGGAGAAGCACCTGGAGCACAGAGATGGCTGCAGACACAAGAGGTGCCTTCTTGGGAGCCAGCCAGTGACCTTTCAGCAAACAGTGGCTTCCCTCAAACCACCTGTGTGCTGGTTTTTTCACCTGGTCCCCAGGAGACGTATCCACTTGTGGAGGAGAGCTCTGCTCTGTGGGAGCGTGGTGGGTACTCTCAAAGGCTGGCTCTTGCAAGGGTGAGAGCAGGGATTCCGCTCACTACCTAAAGCTCTTGTGCGTCCTCCTCCCCTGCCCTCCAGTGCTAAACAGTGCCCAAACAAACCCCAGCTACTCACTGGTATCTCTGATAGTCAAGAACAGCTAAAACGCAGGGAAGGCGCTGCATCAGGTGCCCGTTGCTTTTGCTCCTGAACCAGACCGGTGCAGCAAATCCATCCAAGATGCTTCTTTCCAGTGGCCACAGCCTCCAGGTCCAGCCTCCCTCTCCCATTGCTCCCAAACACTCGCCCAGTGTTTGCAACTCACTTCTCTCCATCAGATACAAGCCACTATGGCCACAGACCTCCTAGTGCAAGGTGAAGACCCCATGTCCCGTGCTGTAATCTACACCGCACCTCACTCTCTGCCAGCTTTCACCACGTACCCTCACACTCAACACTTCTTATGCCATTGTGAATGGCCAGGATGCCAGAAGAAAACCCAGGGATCAGTGAAAAGAGTGTGTGCTCATCAGTGCTGTTTTAATTTCTAACCTGGTATGAAAGTGAAACAGGGTTTATTCCTTGCTCTGCCACTGGCTTACTTCTATAATCATGAGAAAGATGCTCAAACTCTTGTATCTTCAGTCCCCATCTGAAAAAGGGGGTAAAAACCTTGCCTCGTGGGTGTTGAGAGCATGAAATCCAGCAACAGGCATGAAATCCTAACTTGCAGCAAGGATGAAGCTGCGATAAGTATCTAACACTCAGAGAAGTCAAACAGTTTAGATAGGCTGCACTAGATAAACTACATTTTATAAATTTAAATGAGATAAAATGCATCACATTATATTAGGCTGATAAATAGATTAGGAGTAAGAGGGAGAGGATAGCCTTGTGGACATACAGAAAGGACAAGATTTAATATTTCTACAGTGTAACTTGTTAATCAATTTAGTAAACAATTACACTGATTCATATTCTTTATATGTACATTCAAACTTAAAAAAAAAAAAAAAAAAAAGTAACTCTGCAAGTGCCAGGACATCTCCCTTGGAAGCACTAGGACGGACAACAAAGCATGAATAAACCTAGTCAATGCAGATGCCCTTTCCAATTAATCTCAGACATTTACCAGTGTCATATTTCTCCTTGTAATCCCTCTGTGATTAGTCATTTGCAGCAGAGATCGCATTCCCATCTGGGTATGTCTGAGCAGGCCGAAGGCAAAGTAGCAGCACTTGTAATTTTGCTTATAGAATCATTTTGCTTATGTCTTTTTTCATTCAAATTGTCACTGTTTTATGTTTGGGGGA